AAAGTTACCTGTGTGCTTTTTCTGGCCCCATAGACTAATACAGTAAAATGGATAACATGATACTTTTTTTGATAACTCTTGGGTTCTAATGACTAATGGAGGTCATAGATTGCATCGAAGTTTTTAATGGAGGACAAGAAACTTCAGAAGATATTTGGCTTGTTTTTCTGTTTAGCAAATATTTTTCAATTTTTTTCTGTGATTTTAATTATTACTTAGGGTTCTTTTTGTACTTTGGTTAATCTGTTAACAAGAAACGGTGACTTGAAATAGCAACATATATGATCTTCATTCTTTTGACGTATCTTTTGACATGTCTTTTGACATTACAGCTAGCCTTTTCAATTTTTGTAAACTCAATTTATTGGGATTTTTGTGTAAAAACTTTGTCATCTCTTAGTAACATATTTTTTTTTTTTTGATTCCTACCTTGATTAAATGCATCTACAAATGAACAGTGCCCTCCTGAACCCTAAAATTACATATGTTCTGATATAGGGATAAGTGAATTCTTTGTGACATAGGGTACATTTATAACCTATTCTATGATTCTGACTGTATGAATATTTTTCCCAAACAGCTTATTCTTGCAATACTTGCAATCTTGAGCCATTTGCTGAAGTTTTACAGCATTATAAAAGAATTCAGGTAATCCTATGGAAAAAAATACTATTTCTTTAACATCTCTGCTAGAACATTGTTAGTAAATAGATTCTAGAGGAAGATTATAATTTTGGTTAGATTTGGTATTTGTTTCACAATGTTACAGGAAAACAATTTTTCTGTCAAAATATGTAGCTGCTTAGGAAATTCAGGTAGAGTTTCTCAGTTATCTTTTCATTTTAGATAGTATTCTTCCATAAAAGAAAGGAAATGTAACAGCAAAGTTTACACAGTGTGAGGTGTCTCTAAGTAGGCTGCATGGAGAACACCAATATCCAGTGATGTCCCTATTTAATCTTTATATAATCTTGTCTTGCTTCTGCAATATTACAATACAATATGGAAAACCTTCTACGACTTCTCTTCCTTAATGGAGTACATTTTCCTTTCAGCTGATAACAAAGACTTTTTCTCTCTGATGTTTTGTTTATTCTCTCACTCTCCATCACCACCATTTATAATTTTGTAACTGCATTATTTGACACTTGCAAAACTTTGGACTTCTAGAAAGACAGTGCACAAAACAACACTTCTGTTAAACACGAAAGAAATACATCACTAATGTAGACCAAATTGGTTTTTACTTGAACACAATAAATCGCTTACTTGTTCTTGATTTTAGCCTTCGGATAATAATCCTGGATGATATTTCATGAGGACTACCATAAATCCATATTCTCATTATAAAATGTTCAGACTTTTAACTCATGGATGTTCATTATCGTGATTCTAATGGTAACTTGGTTACTTTACTAAATTCCAGATACTCAGCTCAGTCCGTTAGTCCTGGGTGAGGTCTGGCAGCTCCCTCACATTAGGGAGACGTGGGCTCTTCCAGCCTGCTCTGTGTGGTGACCATCCCTTCCTTCAGCACCACCATAGACCCAGTAATCTGTTTTACATGCACTCTCACTTCCACTGACATGGGTGTTACTGGGATTAGAAGTCAGCCCACGTTCAAGTAGAATTGAGTAATTATTGCTGGGTTATAGACCGAATAGGGCAGGTGCAGTAAGGAACATCTCCTAGGTTTATGGCTATAGCTCCATTATTCTGAATGGAGGTTGAGGACCTCATTGAGCTAGAAGAACATTGTCAACATCCTTTGAGGTGAGATCAGGTGTGCTGTACTTCCTAAGGTTCTTCATTTATTCATATGAAGATTTAAGATCTTCTTGTTTAAAGAGTGTAAGATAAGCTGTATAGGAAAGAAATAGTTATATGTTGCTACTTCGTTTTCTGATAAAGGTTTTTACTCTAGAGATATCTAATTTTTTTCAGTTAGAATGGCTCTTGAACACATGGAACAAGTCTGCTAGACAAAATAGTCCAGTAGTGCCATTTTTCCTCATCTGTTACTTTTCCAGTAGCTTGTCCCTGGTGGTGCAGCTCTGTGGGTTCTGCTCCAGCAAGTGACAATGTTCTCAGCCCCTTGGTGCTTCCTTCCTACTCTGATCCTAGCTGGACTTGAAAATTGCTCCCTCCTCTCAGACTAAATTTCCAGCAAGTGGAGCTGTGTCAGTGTAACACATGAAGCTACATATTCCATCAGTGTGCAATCCACTCCACTATGGGATCGCCATTCCAACAATGTGGGCTCTCAAACGTTGCATGACCCACCTCCAGAAATCAACAGTTTTGAAACTGGCTCATTGATTCTACTCATAACAAATAATTTTTGGAATGTGAATTGTTTGCATTTATAGTGCAATAGCTTACCTATTTAGGGCAATAAGGGTTTTCACCCAGGAGTCATCTACTATCTTATGAAAGCAAAGAATATTTCAAAAATAGACAACTCCATTTTAAAAAGAAAACAATGAAAAGGAATATTTTTCTTGATGCTGCAGAGGTACAACTATGAATATTTCAGTGTAATTATCACAGAATCATAGAATGGTTAGAGTTGGAAGGGACCTTAAAGATCATCAAGTTCCAACCCCCCTGCCCTGGGCAGGGACACTTCCCACTAGAGCAGGTTGCTCAAGGCCCCATCCAGCCTGGCTTCAAACACTTCCAGGGATGGGGCAAACCTGGCTTTAAACACTTCCAGGGATGGGGCAAGTATATTATGTAAAATAAATAATAATATTATGTAAAATTCTATTATGTAAAAGAATATATTTGACAGTTTTAAGTACTGAAAATTTAGCGCATTGCTTTCATTTAGATATCAAACTGAAAAAAAAATATCTTAGAAATCTTACTTTCATTTAGATATCAAACTGAAAAAAAAAGTAAATCTTAGAAATCTTTGAATGGAAATTTTGCTTTTTCAACCCTTGTTCTCTTTTCCAACATTTTTTACTCCTTGTTTATTCAATACTAGTTTTTCTTCCTATTACAAACAAAACCACTTGATATATGAATTCATCTAAAGAAAATGTTTAGTTGGTGACTAGTGTCTTGGAATCATCTGTAGCACAGGTGAAGTTCTGTGTTTTCTGATGATGTATGTGAGTTTTCATGGAATTATGGCTGACCTGACTGGTGGATGTGTAGAATACACCGCAGCTTTTCATGGAAGACCTCAAGATGACTGCTAATTAGAATAACCAGACTCCCTTGTTACTCTTTCACAAATTCATAAAGTGGATTTCTTTAGTGAGACATAGCTGATTAACTGTAAGACTTCTTCAGAAAGTGATTTGAAATACACTTTGTAGTTCGCACAGAACGGCACATGAAGTCATGGGTAACATCATACTAATTTCCTGAAAATCAGTAGAACAAATGTTCACATAAACAGTTGCTTGCACTGACTTACTAATGTACTTTTTCTAAATAATTCTTGTATAAAAACAGTTCACAATGTATCATTTTACTGACGCAGTCTGCATTTTTTTAACCTGCACAAATAATTGATGTGAAATGAACTTTGAGACAATAATATTAAAGGACACTGCTCTGCTATAAAGCTGTATTTATTGGTGTCCATCCTCAAGGAGTTCACACTACTTACCCTCACATAAAAATCTGATGCACAAGTGAGAAATTAATTTTATGTACTTTGCCCTGGATCTCACATCAGGTATGATCTGCTCACAGTTTTGTGTAATTAATCATTTCAGTAAGGCATAGGAGCGTTTCCTGAAATACCTATATAGTAAAATCTATAATGTATAATAATCCATAATCACAGTTATACCAGTACAAAACTGTATTCATAGCAGTGGAGCATGGTTTTCTTATCTGTATAGACATAAAATATACTGATTGAAGCACATTTGTCTAACTACATGCAAGGTGGATGGATGGAAGCTTTTTGCTATAGTTGTGCACTCACACTGATGTGACTATAATATGCAGACAAATCTTAATGCTGTGTTATATCATTTTGGCTTGTAGAGTGGTTCTAGCACATAAATCAAACTCATTTTTAAAGGTCTTGAGGCAACCCTCTGGAGGGGAAAATTAAGCCCTTTATACCCTGTTATACAACGGAACTTGTGGCTTCTAAGTAACCATTGAATACACCAATAGGTGGAAACCATTAAATCAGCCAGACCGCAATCAGGGGAGAAGATGCCAGAGTAGTAAACGTGTCCAGGATTGTGCATTTGCTGTGCAACATCATCAGTTTTGCTAATTAACTCTTATCTAGTTTAACAATGAGAGAGGAAGAGAATTTGCACTTTTTGTGTTGTGGCTAGGTTGGCACTTATGGGTGAATGGAAGTATCTGAGCTGATTTTCTTCTTTTATTTTTCCAGCAATGACATTTGTCTTTAATCAAAAATTTCATACATAATCTGAAGTCTATATAAGAAGGTTATCCAAGATACACCTTTATCTTTAAATGTATTTAGTAGAAAGATAGAAAGTTATGCCTTCATCCATGCCGTTGCATGGTAAGACAATTAATGTCTCTCCCTGTCTAAAGCATAAAAAAGAAAAACCTACCAAGCAAATGAATATATAGCAAAATTCCTGTCTCTTTATAGATACTTTTGTCATATGAAGAAACGATAAATATTTTGAGGAGGAAAGGTAAGGCAGCATTGTATTTTTGCATGTCACGTGAACAGTTTGTTTCCAAAATGTAGGCATGCTTTTAATAAACACTGGCTCTTGTGCTCTGCAGGACCATTCCCATATTTACCATTATAAGGCTAGATCACAAGACTTCTTTCATTTAAATGAAGGGTATCATACCATATAAAAGCAAATACTTTGATTGCCATTACCCTGCTACGCAGGGAAACACTGCAGGAAAGAATTCTTTCATTTTAAAATTTTAGCTGAATATGTTTCCGCGGGTTAGTAAAAGCAAACGCACAGATAAAATGAGAAACAGGAAAAAAACAACCAAAACCCCTGAGATGTGGCAGAGCTTACCTGACCACTTCCCAGCAGATCTGCTGCTTGGCTCTCCGGTGCCTGCCCGTCCCTGAAACAGTGAGACAGAATAAACTCAGTGTGACCATCACGCAGCCCACTCCGTCCACTTTTAACACTTCCAACGACAAAACATACGCTTCAAAAACTACTCAAAAAGAGCCAGCATGCAACTCCAGCTGCAAGAGATTTTGTTCACAAACTGAACAGCAATAGGCCTGTACTTTATTCTCATCAAAAAAGTAAACCAATCACATTGACAAAAAGCCACTGTAAACAAAAAGACTGTATTTAAAGGATTAACAGTTTTGGCATCCCTACCATCAAGTCTTCTGTTCTTTTTTTTTTTTCATTTCATCAAAATTTAGGTTATATATTTGTTGTTAGCAAGAGTTGCATTACTATTATTGTTAATTTTAGTTCTGTTTATTACCTTGAGGGTTATATATTGTAGAATAATTTTGTTGTCACTAGTTAATGTTAATTAGTTGTTTTAATAGCCTATATACCTATCTGTTATCTTTTGGTAGGTTTACTTTTTTAACTATCAGTAACTTAATAACTGAGAATATTTAACATAACTGTTGCATACTCAAAATTACAGAGTTACTATTAGTGTTACCTGTTTAACGTTTAGTCATCCTTTGAGTCCTGCGACATATTTCCTTAATAATCATCAGCCATCAAGTCTGATAGTCTCAAAAGAAATATCAGCCCTCTAAACTGCCTTCAAGGGCGATGATATTTAGCACTGAAAATTACAAATAAAGTTTTTGAAGTTGAGTACCAACAACTGGGCAGTGACACTGATGATTTGTTTATCAAGACAAATTGTTGTATACTACAAAAAATGCAGTCAACGCACTCTTCTGAGTGAAAACAAATAGGTGAATCTATGCAATGCTTACATGTTGAATGGGATATTTAATGTGCGGGGAAACTCAAAGGTTGAAGAACTAGCATTTAGACAGTCTAACAGTGGTAAGTGGTAATCTTACCTCTTTAAACTCCATTACATTCTCACGAGAGACATGCTAATACAAACAAGTCAATCAGAGTTTGTGTTTAGCAAGATCAAGCTTAGAGGATAGTTTAAAATCCATTTATTGTTCTAAAGCATTTTTTTCCATTAACATGTTATACATTAGTGGATACTAACCATGATTCATGTAACAGTTTAGTTTGTTAACTTTTAAATTATTTAACAACCAGAAGTTATTAATACAACTTTTAAAGTCTTACACAAAAAATCTTAAAACAGGCTTGGGTTCATTTTTGTAATTTTTATATAAAAAACATTTTAGGCATCTCTTGAAAAAGAAATAAAGCAGGCATTTAAAGCTAGAAAACAAGTAATTCCAAATTTAGTTTGTTACAAAAGGTTTCAGCTTTATTGACAAATTATGGCAAACATATTTGACAAAATTATGGTTTCCTATTTAGAGAAGCTTACACATGGAACTTTATGTGATTTTTTTTTAACAAATACAGGTTAAAACACTGAACAAATTCAGTTAGCTACATACATACAGTAGCTGCTTGTTTTCAACCCCATTAAAACAGCATTTAAAATTAAATTTACAAACTTAATATCGAACATCTTAATCTAAACTAACATATATTAAAAAAGACAGGTTAAAACATCTTATCTACAGCTTGATTATTGTCCGGTTCAAAAAAAAAAGAAAAATAAAAGGAAAAAAAAGAATCATATTACAGTCTTTCAGCAACCCTAAACAAAAACTCAGCCTTAGCTAGTATGTAGAGAGACTCAAGATCTGTAACAGTGTCATGCTTTCTAAGTTACACACAGCAATGAATACAACCAACAGAACATCATCTTTGAATGGTTTATAGACAACGCTTGCCAAAGGTTTTTTTGTCTCTGTTTTTTTTTAAGTCCGTGTTATAAAATAATACTAATGCCAATGTCACTCCAATGTTATAGGAAATACAAGTAGTACATAGGATAATAATGAGCAGTAATCCCTAGGATAGAAAAGAAATGGACTATTACTTGTCTTGTTGCTGTTTATGTGGAGACCACAGGCTATTAATTGTCTTTGAGATGAGGTCACAGATGAGGAGGACCTTCAATATCTACCATAGGGGTGTTCCCTGTAACCCCCTCTGGCTGACCTTGGAGGTGGTGCCTTTAGGCTGGAACGGGTTGTGGCCCATTCTTCTTGTGCTAAAAACAGAAGAGAAAAGATATGTTTTGTAAATATCTAAACTTGATAGAACAAAGTGCTGCTACTGCTACTGTCTGTCAAAATTCTCCAGGGTTTCGGCTGAAAGCTTTACAAAAATACGATGAGAATGGTGTTAGGATCCATTTCTTTACCCTCCCACAAAAATTTGCAGAAAACTAATCTTCTGCTTCTCTACACAGGAAACCTGCCTATCTCAGGATGAAAAAAACCTTACTCCTTCATGTTCAGCAGAGAATGAATACCTAGTGTGGTGGCAGTACAGTCAGCTCTGGAAAAATCACTGCACTAGTCTGCCAGCTCAGAATTTATTTGATGTTTTGAGCTTCTAGCTTTTAAGCTAAAGTACCAATGTGAATAACATTTAATGCAGTTGGTATGTTAATAAGATGAGGAGTTGAATCACGAAAAGATAATAGAAATACATTTGATTTTTTTCTTCCATTTGAGACCAGAAGAAAGAAAATAATGGAAGAAAAACAATGTGCAGAAATGAAGCTCCTACATTACGCAAAAGAGATTTGCCAAATAGTTTTTACTTTATGTTATCTTTAAAACACTTTTTCAAATTTGTGTGAATGAAGTATGCCTGGGAAGAATAAGTTAAAAAACTTCAAGGCTAGTTGAGGTTAAGTTTTTACAAGGCTTCTTTTATTTTTTTCTGGAAGTTAAGCCTTCTGAAGGAGCAAACAGGAAGCTACCTACAGTTGTGGTCCAGCAGTTGAACCCCAAACTTGAACTCTCTCCTCAATCAGCTAGAGGATCATAATTTCTGGTTTTGTCTTCCACTGACTTCAACTGATCATAGACATGGCAATTAAAATGGAAATGCAGAAATCACAGTATATCATCTGTCTTATAGCACATCATCGGGCAGTGTTACTCCTGTTACAGTAGTTGTAGAATACAACTGACATACACAGGTTCACCCAAATGTTCAAAATCTCTACATACCCCCC